AAAAAAAAAAAGAAAGGAATAACATCGAGTAGAATTGGCTTAACATCCACTAGAAAATGGCTTAATATCTTGTTTAAAAAATGGCTCAACATCCACTAGAACATGCTCGAGTGCTTGCCCCTGATCTGATGACCAAACGCGGTGGGTGAAAATTCTAGGTGAACTGGGTTGACTTTCACTTATAAATGACAGAATGACATAACATCTATAAGCAAATGGTATAATATCTTATTTTAAAAAATTTTAAACATCTATTTTTATGGCATAACATCAATTAAAAATGGTACAACATCCACTAGAACATGCCTGAGTGCTCGCCCCTGATGACAGGTCTCGATGGATGAAGGTTCTTAGTAGACTGCGTGGACTTTTTCCATGTTGAAAAACAAATGTTGGCGGAACGTCAAGTACAAATGGTTTAATACTCACTAGAAAATGACTTAATATCTTGTTTTAAAAAAAACGGCTACTCGAGTGCTTGCCCCTGGTGACAGGACTCAATAGGCGAACAGTCACTTATTAATGACATGACATCTAATTTAAACGGGTGATTAATTTTGTTTAAAAAAAAAAAAAAAAGAAAGAAAAAAGAAAGAAAAAAAGATATAACGTCTATTGAAAAAAAATGGAATAACATAAAGTAAAAAATAGCATGACGTCAAGTAAAATGGTTTAACATCTAATTAAAAAGTGGTTGCCCCTGATGACAAGACGCGCTGGATGAAAATTCTAAGTAGTGTTGGTGGACTTTCACTTATAAATGACACAACACGTAGTTTTTTAATGGCATATGATCTAGCAAAACAAGGTATAATACATAGGGACAAAATGGCTTTACATCTAGTAATAAATGGTTTAACTTCCACTAGAACATGTCTAAAAACAATCAGGAAGAGTATTATTGTGAATCTTCGCAAAGAAATCAGACACAAATGTTAGCTAACAAAAGAGACATGGTTAAAAGAAAAATGTGAGGAAATGGAAAATCATTCCAGTTCGAACTCAAAAGATTTGCACAGAAAAGGTAAAGAGATCTGCCGTACAAGAACACGTTGATCAATAGGATGCCTTAAATCAAAGGATGGGAATATCATCATGGATAAAGATAAGATACTCGAACGATGGGCGGAATCTATCGGTGACCTGTACAATGACAAAAGACATGAAAAAAGAAGAGTGGAAAATAGCAACGAGGGCCCACCAATCATGAAGGAAGAAGTTATCAAAGCACTAAGGAAGGTGAAGAATGAAAAAGCTGCAGGACCTGACAATATTACTACAGAGACCATTAAAGCTTTAGACACTGAAAAAATTTCTCAACAACATGTATGACACTGGACATATTCTATCAAGCTTGTCAAAATGGAAAGTTTGATGGAAAGAGAGGCAGACAGAGGGAAACGATTCTGGATAGGTTGACAACATGGCTGGGAACAGCAAGAACGACAGACACCATCGCTGCAACGCAAGACAGGGTGAAGTGGAGGTCCATGATCGCAAGGCACCGGATAATAATGAAAAGAACATGCCCGAGAGCTTGTTCTGATGACAGGACGCTATGGGTGAAGATTCTGGCTAGAGTAGAAGGACTTCCATTTATAAATGACAAAGCACATCATTTTAAAATAACATCTAGTAAAATTAATTAATGTTTAGTTTGGTTGTTTTTTTCAAAAATGGCATAACATTTTATAAAAATATGGCATAACATAATACAGTAAGAAAGTAGCTTAGGATCTTGTTTTATTAATTGGCATAACATCTGTTAAGAAAATACCTCAGTATCCAGTTAAAAATGGGGTAACCAAATAGCTTAGTATCCAGTTTAAAAATGGTATAACATCTACTATGAAAATAGCTTAATATCTTGTTTTAAAAAATTGCATAGACATAACGTCAAATAAAAAAATTGCGTAGAATAGAAGAACCCCCCCATCATCATCATTATTGATGTTATCATTAATTGTTTTTATTATTATTATTATTATTATTA